TCCCACCTCAGACTTGGCACATGCCGTTCCCTCTGCCTGGAACATGCTGTCTCCTGCTTTCCTGTTTGGCCCCTCTTCATTCTTTGCTTATCAGCTCAAATGTCGTCTCTGAGAGGCCTTTCCTACTGACCTGATCAAACGTAGCCACCCTCCCCACAATAACCTGGTTTTTTTTTTGGTATAACCTACTTATTTTTCTCACAGTATTTATCACAGTTTGAATCTTGTTTATGCACATTTTCTGTTTTTACGGACAGAATATAGGATTTGCACACTCCCTTCCCCTCCCCCTCAAGAAGATGATTTCCATTATATTTGTCTAATAAAGTAGTTCTCAAATGAGAGGGACTTTGTCCCCCGGGGAACATACACCGATGTCTGGAGACATTTTGGTTGTCACATCCTGGTGGGGGAAGGGAGGCTCCTGGCATCTAGTGGGTAGAGACCAGAGATGCTGCTAAGCATTCTACAGAGCACAGGATGCCCCTCCCCCAGTAAAGAATTATCCAGACCAAGATGTCAAGCTTCCCTAGGTTGAGAACTCTTATCTAATATCATCAGAGGACAGAGTGAGACCAGGAAGAGAGAACGAGTTGTTGCCAAATGATGAACAACTTAGGAAATGATACAAATGAACTCTACGTATAAAATATAATTATGAAAGGAGTTGAAGAAGCTCCCAGCGTTCAGCTCTTATTGTTGGATATGATAGTGGCAATCTCTGATAACCCACTAGTTGCTTTACCTTTCACTGATCATTGGTAAATCTTTCAAGACTTAAATGTAATAAGTGAGAGGCAATAATTTACAAAAACGCATTAAATTTCTTAGGGCTATATCATCCAGAGTTACACATTTCCTTATCGTGCCATTACTTCTAGGAAAAATTGTGAGCTATTTTGAAGGAGTATATATAAATTATTCTTGCCTACACTTTGTCACAGTAAATTTATTAGTCCATTCTAAATTATGTTTAATTAGAGTAATGTTTAAAAAAAAATCACATGATAATTTTCTAGTTTTCTAAGTTATAAGCGCTGGTGTATTGGCTTCTCTGGCCTGACCCATAGGAGGTGCTCAATAAGTACTTTTAAACTGAGCTGACATGGTTCTCTTTTTAAGTGGGAATCCTAAAATCAAAGGAAGCGTCTTTTGTTTTATTTTATTTTATTTTTTTTAAAGATTTTATTTATTTTATTTTTTCCCCCCAAAGCCCCAGTGGATAGTTGTATGTCGTAGCTGCACATCCTTCTAGTTGCTGTATGTGGGACTCGGCCTCAGGATGAACGGAGAAGCGGTGCCTTGATGCGCACCCGAGATCCGAACCCGGGCCACCAGCATCGCAGCGCGCGCACTTAACCACCAAGCCACAGGGCCGGCCCAGGAAGCGTCTTTTAAAGGTTACTTTTCTCCTGGAAAATGACTGGAGCTGTTCAGGATCGCCAAGTTCCTCGAGGCAGTTGTTAATAATTGGTGGCCCTAAAGGAACTTGAATCTCTAAAGAGACATTTTCACCGTTAATCTTCTTATGCTGTAATCCTCACGCATAGGAAGTTGTTATCAGATAACTGTGGACCATGGTAAATGCTAGCACATTTTGATGCATTGATTATGTGGTTCAGAGGTTACTTGGAAATATTTTAGAGGTCCTTGGTGTATTGTCTTGTGGGAGATAAGAAAGATGGGGCCAGCATTCTTTTGGATCTGAAAACTGTGTGGATGGCTCTAAGTTTGGGGAAGGCCCTGGCCCCACCACCAGTACTCTTCAGGAGTGGTTTTCACTCTGTCCCCACTGCAGAAGAACACCCCCTTCCTTTTTTTTAAATAAAATGTTATGAGGAATCTTGATTTCTAAAACAAATGAAAAGGAGTTGCTTTCGTTAAAAATGACGGTGGTAGAGAGCCCAGAGCCCCATTCATCTCTCTCTCTGTCAATACTTGCCTCCACCATTGAGGCCCATTGCTCCCTGGAGCACAGTTTTTCCCTCAGATAATCACTAGCCAGCTCCGTGGCCTGGGGAATCACTCTTACCTAAGAGTGGGTATAATAGTATCTAATTCAGGAAGCTGTTTAGAGGATTGAATTGGAAAATGCGTGTTAAGTTTAGCACAAATCCTGGCACATAGTAAACATACAGTAAATGATCCTTTTTCGTACACTGAACCCTGGCCGTTTGTCAACAGGCGCTCTCAAGCAACCAGGTGCATCATATAGGCATAAATTGCAGGTGGAATTCAGGAAGAGCTGAGGAAGCCAAGGAAACTTACTTCTTGGCCTTCTGTTTGACCACGAGACCCATATGAAGTGCTATAGGTGTGGGTTGGGTCAATCAAGCGTCTATACATGCTGATTTTCTACAGGCATTGGAGTCAGGAGAGCAAAGTAACTCCTGTGTTAATGAGACAGCTGCGTAAATCAGATCATCGTATTTCATGGCCATGCCAGCTACCTAATTATACAGTCAGAATTAAAATACTTAAATTAGTGTACTCTGGAAGTTGCTTGTAGATACTTTAAAACATCTGGATTTAAATGACTAAAAGGACTTTAAAAAGCATTCTGAAGGATGTATATGGGGAGCAAAATTAAGAATAGGATAGCTTAATTGACAGTTATTGGGGGTGGAAGTGACGTAAGCAAGCAATGGTGAAACTTCAAAAGAACATTGAAGAGTGGACAGAAAGCTCAAATTTTTGAGGAGAAATGGCCAAATGTGTGGCAGAATGCTAAGCAAAGAAAATTAGGACAAACTGATAACGTAAAATCCACTTTTGTGATACAAATCTGCAGAAGCACGCGTGCCAATTGAATATAATATTTGAGAACAGTGGAAGAGAATATAATCAGTGAGACAAGGAAGAATGGGATTGTTCTGATACATGTGACCCATTTCTCCAAGGATTCCGCAGAAATTTAATAACTCAGAAGTTATTAAGAAGTGGGAAGTTTATATATTTAATGTCAAAGCCTAGCAATTTGCTACAGACTATTTTAACTGCTTGTATATCTTCATTGTAGTTTTTCCTGACTCGAGTGTTTTAGATTTTATTAATTTTGTTTTGTTTTTGTAAGTGGAAAAAGTTAAGATTCTCCCCTCCTCACCCTTCCAATCCTACCCCTTATAATGTAACCATTGTTAAGGGTTTAAATCCTTTTTTTTTTACCAAAAAGGGGGTGTACTCGGTAATTATTTTCCAGCTTGCTTTTTCACGCACTATAGATATCACTCTAGGTTAGTGGTTCTCAACTGGGAACAGTTTTGCTCCCCAGGGGGCAATGTCTGGAGACATTCTTGATTGTCATGACTGGTGGGGCATCCAGTAGGTAGACGGTTGCTGTAAATATCCTACAATGCAAAAGACAGCCCCCACAACAAAGAATTATCTGGTTGAAAATGTCAATAGAACCAAGATTGAGAAACCCTCCTCTAGGTCAATACATATAAATCTAATTCATCATTTTGAAATGCTTCATAATACTTTATAGTGTGGATAGACGGTAATTTATTAACTAGTTAACTACTGATGGCTATAGCTTCTTATTTAGTGGCATTTATATATTTAATATTAAGAGACCAAATGCTCCAATTTAGTTATATACAATTCATTTGTTTCTTTAAAGAGCAAAAATAAGCCTTATCAGAAAGACTCAAAAGAGGAACAGTTAAGCATTCATAGGCTTGTGTGTAAAATTAGATTCTGGGTCACCCTGAGTCAAGAGAATTTGGTTTCAATAAAAATCACAGACTCACTCCAAATGACAAGTCTTAAAGTAAGTCGTTTGAAAGCATGTCTTCATTCTTTTGGAATTAAAAAAAAAAAGAAGAAGCAACAACTCTAAAGCCTTTTAGATGACTGCCAGAAATAGAGAAGACTACTTTTGAAGTGACTGCAATAACGTTCAGAGAAGCTAATTCTGATGATCTCTACCTCTTCCTTATACATATTTTTAAAAACCCATTAGTCCATTAAATCATGGTGGGTTGAACAAAAGAAAACAAAGCAGAGTTAAGATGAAAAAAGTGATACCCAATCCTAAAGACGTTTGAATGACTTCCAGATGCTGTTGACAATGTAATTCAGAATCGGAATGACTCTGGTTAACCACAGGGTTTTACAGAAAAGGTGCCCTGAAGCAAACAGATGTTTGCTCTGTGCTTCTCTAGCCCATTCTTTGTACATGTCATGTGCATTCCTGGAAGGATAAAATAGAGAACTGATTCTCCTCTCTCGCAGAGCTGGGTAAAGGGGAATAGAACCCGAACTCTATGTGTGAGAAGGATGGCAAACCAGTTGGTGAGCCTCAAAGGACTGGACCTCTGCCTCAACCCTTCCCTTGTCATCAGTGTCCTCAAGAAGAAATGGGGGTGGGAAGTTTATCTTTCCTTTGCTAATAGTCTTTTATTATTATTTTTTTAAGTCATCCAATGACAGTTCTATAGTGAAATAGAGTAGACTGGATAATTTGGGCTTTGTGCTTTTGATCTTTCAATTTTTTGGCGTGAGTTCTTATAATTAATAAATTAATAGAGATCATCATCTTGGTATAGGTCAGACCTATCAAAATTGCAACTGATCAAACATATCTAAGGGACTGCTAACATTATAAGTTCATTGATTTTTTCTTTTTTTATTGAAATATAATTGACACATAATATATTAGTTTCAGGTGTACAACATAATGATTCGATACTCATATATATTGCAAAATGATCACCACAGTAACTCTAGTTAACATTCGCCACCATACATAGTTAAAAAAATTTTTTTTCCTGTGATGAGGACTTGTAAGATCTACTCGCTTAGCAACTTTCAAATATGCAATGCAGTGTTGTTAACTATAGTCATCTTGCTGTACGTTATATCCCTATGACTTACTTATTTTGTAACTGGAAGTTGGTACCTTCTGACCCCCTTTACCCATTTCCCCCACCCACAGTCCACCCCCATGAGTTCACTGATTTGTGGGAAAACTAAGAGTTTCCTCCCTCGATTTTTAGGATCAGAGCCACACACAAGTTTCACAGTACCGGCAGGATCCTTCCTTGATCATGAGGTCCATTGTGCACATGACAGATGCTGCTCGCTCTGGGATCATGCCTCCTGCCCAGCTCACCACCATCAACCAGTCTCAGCTCAGCACCCAGTTGGGGTTGAATTTGGGAGGTGCCAGTGTGCCCCACACATCTCCTTCACCTCCAGCAAGCAAATCGGCAACCCCCTCTCCTTCCAGCTCCATCAATGAAGAGGATGCTGATGAATCCAACAGGGTAAGTTAGCTGCCTCAGTATGTAACCTACTAGAGAGTTTGGGATCACCCCATGCTCGTGTCTTTGAATTTCATTCATGGTATTCCCTTCGTTTTCTTCATGGATTTGGAGTAGCATTTAAATTTATGATGGTTTAATTTTTTTTCTTCACTCTTTTACTTATTTATTTTCTGTGGAAAGTGTATTCAACTGGAAATTGGGAGATCTGGCTTCTCCTACTAGTTGTAAGGTGTTGAGCAAGTCATTTAATTCTTGAAGGCTTAATTTTCCTAGTTTGCTAAAGAGAAGGCTTGCACTAGACTCGCCAGGAATTCTGAACTGCTCTGGTTCTGAGTTAATGTCCATGTGGGTAAGTTTCATCCAGTTATTTGGCTGAACTGCTGCCACATTTGACAGCCTTGCACCTTCAATAGTGTTTATCACTTAGTAAGTTTAATCATTTTATGTCTCTGGTTTTGTCATGGAAAATGTATATTATTCAAATATACATAGTTTGAAATGAAAACTTAGTTACAGGTGTGACTTCTCTGAATGCCTAGGAAAGTAGTCTGTTTCATTAAAGTTATTTATTCTAGGTACACAGTTACCCATTCGTTATTCATTATGTGTTGTACACCTACTCTGTGCTTGGCGTTTTACTTGGTTCTGATATAAAGATTTATAAGAGAATTACTACCCATGGGACTCCCCACTGGGGATGAATAGCAATGTTTAAAATGGACACCAGATGTGATTAGTGGTAAAATTGATGTGATGTGTGCTGAAATTGTTATCAATTCTGCTTGGGAGAGTGATTTGAGGAAGACTTTATTGAGAAGGTGATATTTGAATTAGGTCTAAGAGGATACATAAAAGTTTGTGAGGCAGAAGACAGAGGCTGGCAGTCTGGTGGAGGGAGCAGTGAAAGTACATGTCAATTTATGGGTATCATGAACAGTTTGATATGGGGGAGGAAAGAAACAGGAGTTGAAGAAAGAAATGGCTGAAATGTGGTAGCCTTTCTCCTGTTGGTAATTGAGAGCTGATTAATTATTTGCATAGAGGAATGGCATAAGCAAGTTTATGCTTTTAGAAAGATAACTTTGGCTGTATATAGAATGCATTACAAAGGGAGGGACCCGAGAAAAGGAAACCAATTAGAAGGCTCTTTTTATGAAGTGTTTCTTTTTAGCAAAGGAAAGAATGGACAGGAGGTACCAGATTAGTGAGACATTTAAGAGGAAGAATCAGTAAGGTTTGGTGATCCACTGGAATTTGAAGGAGTAAAAGATAAATTGGGGTTTAGTTTGAGAGCCAGCATCGATATAAATAAATGAAAGGATCAACCCAGATAGAAAGGAGTGGTATATTTTCTTCCATGGGAAAATGAGTTTGGCATGGTATGGGTTAAATTTGGGGCACTTATATTTGAGCCTAGAACTCAGTTCACTGGAGGTGGAGCTGTAGATTTGGGGACCATCAGCACATAGTCCTAAAGACATAGAAGTAATCAGGATTTCTCAGAGTGTGTAAGGAGCAAGTCAAGGCCAGAACCCTGAGCATCATTTATTTTTTTTATTTATTTATTTTTTTTGTGAGGAAGATCAGCCCTGAGCTAATCCGTGCTAATCTTCCTCTTTTTGCTGAGGAAGACCGGCTCTGAGCTAACATCTATTGCCAATCCTCCTCCTTTCCCCCCCACCGCGCCCCGAAGCCCCAGTAGATAGTTGTATGTCATAGTTGTACATCCTTCTAGTTGCTGTATGTGGGACGCGGCCTCAGCATGGCCAGAGAAGCGGTGCGTCAGTGCGCGCCCGGGATCTGAACCCTGGCCGCCAGTAGCGGAGCGCGCGCACTTAACCGCTAAGCCACAGGGCCGGCCCCTAGCGTTGTTTATTTTTAAGTAGCAAATGGAAAAAAGAAGCCAGAGAAGATTGTGAGTGAAGAAAAGAGAAAGGAGGTTAGAGTAATGTTGCAAGGATTTCAAGGAGGAGGGTTTGGTGTTAACGCCCCATTGGACGCAGACTGGGCAAATGCACTAACGGTCTCTGTTCACACTCACAAGGACTTCAGTGAGATGAAGTGAGAAGTAATGATTAAAGAAACTCAAGGTGGGGCCGGCCCGGTGACGCAAGCAGTTAAGCGCGCACCCTCCGCTGCGGCGGCCCGGGGTTCGCCAGTTCGGATCCTGGGCGCGCACCGACGCACTGCTTGGCAGGCCATGCTGTGGCGGCGTCCCATATAAAGTGGAGGAAAATGGGCACAGATGTTAGCCCAGGGCCAGTCTTCCTCAGCAAAAAGAGGAGGATTGGCAGGTGTTAGCACAGGGCTGATCAAAAAAAAGAAACTCAAGGGATGTGACTAAGGCACAGCTAAGTTATAACTGCCCATTACACAGTTCAGACGGAGTCCTTTCATTTCACTCCCATTTCCACTGATCTTAGTACTTCTGTGCCAATCTGAAATTGTCATGCCTAAAAAGAACCTTTTGTGCAACTCCTAGCTTCATCCATCTTAAGCGAGCGTCTAGTTTTGTGTAAAGACAAGGAATCCAGTTTATCTTTTAAGCAACTTAGCAGAGAAAGGAAGATTAAAATTATTGTTGATTTTGTCTCTTTTGGGTAAAACTGTTTCTCCATCTTTCCCAACCTTCTTGAGTCAACTGCACAAAGGTTTCTTTTGGAGAATTAATTCTGAGCTTTTATTTAAACTGTGAGATTTTTCATTACAGGTTTTATTCTTAAAAGGTAATGATGATGGGGGCAAGTCATGGTTATCCAAGATAGACGTCAAATGTTGTTAACATCTGAATGTTGTTTAACAGAGAATGAAGTTGAACAACTCTTATTTGGAAAAAGCTGCCCTGGAAATTACTTTCGTCTTCATTGGTCAGGGCATTTTTGGTGCAAGCAGTGCCAAATTTTCTTCCAAGAAAAGAGTATAGTTGTTTGACTCAGAAGAATCTCTGTGTATATATATACTTTTTTCTTGTGGCTAAAGTAATATTTTTTCATTGAAGGAAAACTTGGCTCCTTCTGAAGCTCTAACTGAAAGGCATCTGACTCCCTTGATTCAGATTCATTAACTAGAATTAAGTCTCACTTATTCTGAGAATTTAGAAAAAAGATTGTGAGGTCTACAGAATTTTATTAAATTCATTGTGTGAATTATGAAAGATGACATTCTGAAGGAGAGGTGAGATATGGCTTAACACTGTCTGAAGGATGTAAACTACTTGTGTATGGATGTTGTTATCACTCAAATAGCACAGACAATAAGCCCACCTAGAAGTAGGCTCGTGGTTTCCTAACACCTTGAGGGTTCAGACCTCTCAGAGAAAAGTTACTTGGCGGTTTCCTCCCTAAGAATTTTAGTAATTGGATTAAGTTCCAAATGACCCTCATTCGGAGAGTAATGATTCTCTTGGAAAATTTGAATTAGGATTCAAGGCTCCAGGCCATTAAAAGCCAATCTGTTAGTAACTTGAATCTGTCTTTGTTGATCTTACCCAAGGCTGGCTTTTAAAACAGATTTTGTCAAACATTTCAGCATTCTTGACGAAGTTAACTGCAAAATTATCTTCAATATAGTCATATTATAATTTAAGGGGTAAAACGAGGTTGATAAGTCATTTCCTCTGCTTTTCTGATAAGTACATTGTATGATCATTGAAATGAGAGGATAGCAGCAGGCAAATCTGAAGCTCGGTGGTATATAAATTTGGGGAGCTGTACCCATGTCATGTCTAGTCTATGTTTTTCATCTCACAGAGTTCATTGTGAATATGTGGGAGCGTCTCTATGGCAGTATTCTTGTGGGCAGGGTTACTTACTTACCATATATAATAAATATCTTCTTAATATCCTTTTAGCCTTGGTGATTTTCAGTATGTACTATTTGCTCTTTTACAGGTTTTTAATTTTATGGAGTGTCTCGATTTCCTTTCTATCTCCAGTTAAAGGAGTTTTGACATTTTTACATTTCTTATTCTTTTATTACTGTTTTAGAAAATAAAGATAACCTTACCCTTACTGTGCAAGCTTTGGGGTTGTAGCTAATTTCCATTTGAGTTTCCGGAGACCCATTAGCAAAGTAACATTCTGGTAAAATAAAAAAATCAAGCCTCAAATAATCAATTCAGATTCATCATACGTATGGTATGTGTCTATGGCAAGGGACCTCATTTAAAATATCTGAGTATGATCAACATCCTGATAATTATTTAGGTTTCCTTCTAAAACCTCTGAAAATGTAAAATATCTTGTTTATGTGTACATGTGTAGCATAGCATATATATATATATATATATATAGCATCACCTGGTACAGAGTGTTCTGTTTTTCATTACTCATAATTGCTATTTAGAGCATATGTTGTGAATGTATTGAAGATACTTCTGGGTCTCATTAATCAATGTTCTAAATGCTAATCTCTGCTGTCCAGTTAACTCTAAGCAAATTTACCCCTCCCCCACTTTGCTGGTGATTCATCTGTTGATGATGCTTAACAAAACCTTGAAAGAACAATTGCAGACCTGAGTGAGCCTTGCTGCATTCTCTGCAACTATATTCTAGGCAGTGAATTTTCTTCCTGCTTTGCAGGCCATTGGAGAGAAAAGAGCTGCTCCAGATTCTGGCAAGAAGCCCAAGACTCCAAAGAAAAAGAAAAAGAAAGATCCCAATGAGCCACAGAAGCCAGTGTCAGCATATGCCCTGTTTTTCAGAGACACACAGGCTGCGATTAAAGGTCAAAACCCCAATGCAACCTTTGGAGAGGTCTCAAAAATCGTAGCATCTATGTGGGACAGCCTTGGAGAAGAACAAAAGCAGGTGAGGCGAAGATCCTTCACGGCCATATATTAAAAAGTTGCCAGAATATTCCTCAGCCAGCCCTGTTGGTCTAGTGGTTAAGGTTTGGTGAGGCAAACCTTAACCACAACACCCGTCTGTCGGTTGTCACACTCTGGCAGCTGCGTGTTGCTGTGATGCTGAAACCTGTGCCACTGGTGTTTCAAATACCAGCAGGGTCACCCAGGGTGGACAGGGTTCAGCAGAGCTTCCAGACTAAGACAGACTAGGAAGAAGGACCTGGCCACCCACTTCCAAAAAAATTGGCCATGAAAATCCTATGAATAGCAGTGGAGCATTGTCTGATACAGCACCCGAAGGTGAGAGGATGGCACAAAAAGACCAGGCTCGGTTCTGCTCTGCCGTCCACAGGGTCTCTGGGAGTCAGAATTGACTCGACAGCACTAACAACAAAAGAATATTCTTTACACCTTTTCTGAGTGAATACATTCACTTAATATGATTGCTTCTTATAAAAGCCTTTCTAAGCAATGGAATTAAAAAACACAAACATACAAATCCAAACCGCTCTCCAGTTGTATGGATTTCTCATTCCCCTTTAGGGTGCATGTTCAGAACCCATTCAGAGGAGAGTTGGAGGAAATCCAGGCAATATCCTGCAAGCATAAACTTTTGATGATGATCTTTTCATTTTAAATAGTGTGGAATTTTTTTCCACATTATTTCAAAAAGGGCCCTACAAAGGGATTAGGTCCATCCTGCTTGCCTTTTCTTTGATCATCTTTCTGAACCCTTGTGCTCTCCTGGTGGGTTTCCAAACTTTGAAGCCACCTTTGCGTTGTTTCCTTATTGTCACCAGGCGTTTGAAATTTTATTCCAAGTTCATTTGAAAGCTCGGCAGTATGAGAGGTATTGAGAGATTAGCCGTGCTGGTGGGAGAGCCTTCCTTAGGGCCTCATCTCCTACCCTTCCCCTTGCAACTCCTCCAGCAAATGGAGAGGAGAGTGCCTTCCTTGCAGGTTAGTCCTTCCCCTGCTCCTTACAGGAAACTCCAATGACCATTAATAGGAGCTAACTCAGCGTATCCTCAGAAGACTACACCCCTATTAGTAATAAAATAGAATGATTGTTTCAGGAATGAAGAATGGAAAACACTTGATTTTTCGTTATAAATCATCAACTTATTCCTAGCAGCTAGTTTCTGTGGGATGGTGCAACTATAGAATTTGCCTGTTTCTTTGCAGTGAGCCTGTTGCTGTATATAGCAGACTGATTTTCTGTCCCAGAAATGTAATCCTAAAAGACTGGCAAACCGCTGCACCTAATTTAAATTCTGGAGAAAGAGATAGTTGTGCTCCGGTCTAACACCCAGACATCAGACCACTGTTAATAAAAGGAAGCCTAAATCTTGTCTGATATACTGGGATTTATTTATGCAACTCGTTGGTCTCACTAATGGAAATCGCCCATCTTTTACTATTTCTGATTTTTTTTTTTCTCCCAAAGAAAACCAAGGTCAAGAAGCCTCCACCTTTTCTCTTTTGTCTTCACAGTTTCTACCTGATGGTGTTGGTTTTTTTTTTTGGCTTGAGGAAGACTCAGCCTGAGCTAACATCTGTGCCAATCTTCCTCTATTTTGTATGTGGGTCGCCACCACAGCATGGCTGCCGACGAGTGGTGTAGATCCGCACCCAGGAACTGAACCCCGGGCCACCAAAGTGGAGGGCTCCGAACTTAAGCACTAGACCACAGGGCCAGCCCCTCTTGTTGGTTTTTTAACCGTCTGATTTGGTACAGTTTAGAAATGTGTGTGAAGGAAAGAAGACGTTGATGGAGAAACTCGTTACTTTCCATAATTTAAACCATTTGCAGCAAATTTTACTCTCCTTGCTTCCTTATTTACCGCCCTAGCATGAGGCCCTCAGCGGTTCCTCTTGAGGCATCTGTGCTGCCACCGGAAATCGTTTTCTCGTTGACAATAGTAAACATCAAAATGGTGCTCTCTTGAGGGGGGCAGGGTTTTGTTTTGATATATGTGTGTGCTCATGTTTAAAAATCAAAGCCACGGAGACCAATTTTTAGTGTGAATTATGTTGTGACCTAATTTGTACAGCCATTATTTTATGGCTGAGAATTTCTATGCTAAAGGTGGTGCTAATTGTGGTCTTTTAATAGGTATATAAAAGGAAAACGGAAGCTGCCAAAAAAGAATACTTGAAGGCCCTGGCTGCATACAGGGCCAGCCTCGTTTCTAAGGTAAACCTTCCGGGGCGGGCAGTCTCCCCGAGTTACCACGTTGAAAACAGCCATGGAGCACTGACAACGTCCATGCAACTCCTCTCAGAGTTGACAAAAAAAGCATCTTGAACAACTCTTGAATGTATTTGTCTCCGTTAGAGATTACCACCATGATGGCGTGAAAAAGGAGTTAATTTAAACTGCTGAATCTAAATTGTTTCCACAAGATTCCCTGATCTCTCTCTATGTGTGTCGAAGCTATTAGACAGTTTTAAATAGCCACTGATTCTTTCTTTTTGTCAGAGGCTGAGATCTGTGTTAATGTCGTCTATTTAATCTGGGAGGTAGGTTTGTCAGGTATTTTTTGGGCAGCATATCCTAAATTCTCCAGTGGTTACATTATTGTCATAGAGGATGTTGCATTTTTGACCAGCCTGTTTCACATCATATAAATAAATAAACCTCGTGATTATTTAAAATAAAATTATGCTCCAAGTACTTAAAAAAACAGACATGTATATGTATTATACATAGCGTATACAGCGGACCCTGATGTATTATAAAATGCACAGTATCCCAAAGCGAATGTCGCTCGAAGTTATTATTACCTTGATCCAAAAGGAGGGTGAGCTATTACATTATTATTGTAATGTTTAATTAACTTTGTCTTTAGCCTTCTTAGAATTCAGAGAGGGTTGGGGAGGATAATTTGAACTCATGTTTTTGCTTTTGATGTATTTCCTCCGGCAAGCCCAGATTCCATTTCATTGTCTTGGTTTTTGCCTCAGGGGCCGTATAGTGCCTCAGGACATGGTAGGTGTGCTGGCAAAGCCATTTTAAAAGGGTTGATCCCTCTTGTCTCTTCTTCACCTGAGTTCTTTCTTCTTTGTATTAAGATCTACCATTGGCAGCTGCTCAGAATCAGGTTAAGAGAGGTGCTCCTATCTCTGTTGACAGACAAGACACTTCCTACTTTATTAGAAAGAGAAAACAGTCATCAGGTCAATATCAAAACCTTTTTCTGAGACTCTGGAAGACAGACCTTAAAGGATATAGCGATTCTGTACTCAGATTTGCACAGTGGCAGAAAACAACTGAACGTGTGGGCTGCAGATGTTGAGAATTGAGGTATAGTTGATGGCTAATTAGAGAGAGTGAAGTGAATAGAGTAACAGTGTGCATGTTCTTCTGAAGTGGATCATTTATTCATTCGTTTACCCAGGAGCAGGTATAGGTGATCTTTATGCATTAGAGCATGAATAATTGACCACACGTGGATTTAAGCCAAGAGCCGGTAACTCAAAAGGTGTTCAGGAAATAGCGCTCACGGAGTCTGTGACTGATTGAGAAGGAAAAACTTAAAAGTTGTACATTGGATACTAGAATCAGGATTCAGTAGTATTTCTGAATGAAATTCCATGACTCAAAAAACCCAAAAGGATGGAATTTAAAAAGAATAAATCTAAAATATTGTTTGTTTGGTTTTTTTGTTTTTTGTTTTTTGTTTTTTTCATTAAGTAAGTACAGTTTGAGAGCATCCTAAATTTATATTCAGAGACCTGGCAGGCAACTAAAACAGTCCTCGAGGTATAAGTTTAGAATAATTTCAACCTGAACCGAAAGTGTGAAATAGCTGCTAATGTGGTGAGCTCACAGGAGGGGGCGTCTAATTGTATAGTGTGACGATTAGACCACATTTGAAGAATTGGTTCTGTTTTGGACTCCACAGTGTAAAGAGGATGGTGACCAATTGAAGGCTGTCTAGAGGGTTGCCTCCATGATGGTGAGGACTGAAAATCAAATATATGAAAAAATCAGGGAAGTGAGGATTTGGGGGCATATGATCTTGGTCCTCAAACACCAGGGCCATTATGTAAGGGAAGCCTAAGTTGGACCTCTGTGCCCTGGACAAGAGGATTCGTCTAAGGAGTGAGGTTACAGGGAGCAAGATTTCAGCCTCAACTTGAGAACTAATAAATAGGATTGCATCATATGTGCATTTCACTTATGCCTCTACGTTCAGAGCCAGGACTCCCTCTCCTAAGATGGGACTCTACTATCACTTTTAATCTTCGCAACAATCAACAAAATTAATAGAAGCTCTATATTAAACCATAAGGGAGAAAAAACTGTGTGTATTCTACTTTATGGGTGATTTAATGGCTTTTTAAAGATAATTATGAGTATTTGCAGGCGTCTTCTTCCCCCAAGATTTTAGAATGTGACCCTCCAGTAGCATGCAGCCCCTCTGAGCTTTCGTACAGAACCAGAGAGTTGTCCACTGACAGACGGTGCTTTCAGTGATAACGTGTTCATACAGAAGCCATCAACTATGGCTTTTCCTACATTGAGTGACTCTCCATATAAGATCACTTCTCGAGTTCCTTCTAATAGTAGATTTTATAAATATGTGTAGTAAAAATCTAGAAGTAAACATTCAAGATCATTAAAGAGAGTGGATGATGGCTTGATGCCTCCAAGGTGCCTCCATTACCCCCTCCAAAAACCCTTATTTGGTGAGAAATAAGAGGAAAAAATAATCCTTAAGAGAAATCATTCCCATCACTGTTGGCATTAGTAAAAGAATTTAGTTTTGTGGAGATAATTATATGTTTTTAGCACAAAATGTAATAGGTAGTTTCTCTCCATGTTGAACCCCACCCAGATCAGTTGTTTATCATATAACATGTTGTTCAGTCACGTGAATACTGAACATTCTCCCCTTGTCTGTGATTCCTGCAATAAATTCTGGAAATATTTGAAAATATTTGGTAAACTAAAACATTTTGAAAATTATAAAGTTCTTCAATTTATTTTTTGTTTTTTGGGGTTTTTTTTGTGAGGATGATTAACCCTGAGCTAACATCCGTCGCCTAATCCTCCTCTTTTTGCTGAGGAAGACTGGCCCTGGGCTAACATCTGTGCCAATTCGCCTCTACTTTATACAGGATGCTGCCACAGCATGGCTTGACAAGCGGTGCATTGGTATGCGCCCAGGATCTGAACCTGCGAACCCTGGGCCCCCGAAGTGTAGCACACGCACTTAACTGCTATGCCACCAGGCTGGCCCCTTCAATTTATTCAATTTATTAATTTATTTTTAAGGCATTCAGTTATGCTTTTCTTATATTCAAGTGAGCACTGTTATAAATAATCATGCAAAGAGAGGGCTTTGAAGTTTTTAATAGCACTGGTTTTCTGGTAGTAATTGTTGTTAATTAATAAAAGTAGCTAACATTTACTAAGTGCTTCTCGTGGGCCAGGCACTGTTCTAAACGCTTAACAAATATGAGTTAATTTAATTCTCACAACCTTTACACAAGGTAAATACCATAAACCCCATTTTATAGGTAAGGAAACTGAGGAACAAATGGGTGAATTAACTTGCCCAAAGTCACAAAGCTGTTAAGCAGTAGAGCTAGATTTGAACTCAGGCAGTCTGTACTCTTGTCAATATATGATCCTCGATGGTGAGGTTAGTTCAGATCTACATGCTGAAGAATTAATGTGTATCAGTTATCTTTTGTTGTGGTAGTGCTGTGTAACAACCAACCACAAAGCCCAGTGACTTAAAAAGGAAGCAGTTATCTCTGAGAATGCCAGGTGGCTGGCTGGTCCTTCAGATCTAGGCCAGGATCGGTGGGATCAGCTAGTCCTGCTCATCTGTCTGCAGTCCTGTGGAGGTCAGAGGGGGCTGGACTCCTTCACATACATGGCAGTTGGCTGGCGGGCAGTGAGCTGGTTCTTGAGTGGGGTAACTCGTGTCTGTCATCACGCACATGGTGGTGGCAGGTTCCGAGAGAGAGAGAGAAAGGGTGCGGGGCCTCTTGAGACCTCACTTCATCACATTCTGCCGACCAGAGCAAGGGCAGAAGGCCAGCCCAGAACCAAGGGGTAGGGAATTGGATTCCACCTCTGGGAGGAGCTAAAAAGTCCCATGGCAAAGGGCTTGGGTACAGGGAAGCAGGGCTAATGGGAGCCATTTTTGTAATCAATTTACAAGACTTAAAAATACTTTATCTTAAATACTTGTGTATTTTAATATTTTGGAATTTTCTCCCCCAACACGCAGGCTGCTGCTGAATCAGCAGAAGCCCAGACCATTCGTTCTGTTCAGCAGACCCTGGCGTCCACCAATCTGACATCCTCCCTCCTTCTCAGCCCTCCGCTGTCTCAACATGGAACAGTCTCAGCGTCACCTCAGACTCTCCAGCAATCACTCCCTAGGTCAATTGCTCCCAAACCCTTAACCATGAGACTCCCCATGAACCAGATTGTCACATCAGTCACCATCGCGGCCAACATGCCATCGAACCTTGGGGCTCCGCTCATCAGCTCCCTGGGAACCACCTTGGTTGGCTCAGCATCCTCGACCCAAGTGAGCCCTTCAGTGCAAACCCAGCAGCATCAGATGCAGCTGCAGCAGCAGCAGCAGCAGCAGCAGCAGCAGCAGCAGATGCAACAGATGCAGCAGCAGCAACTCCAGCAGCACCAAATGCATCAGCAGATCCAGCAGCAGATGCAGCAGCAGCATTTCCAACACCACATGCAGCAGCACCTGCAGCAGCAGCAGCATCTCCAGCAGCAAATCAGCCAACAGCAGCTGCAGCAGCAGCTGCAGCAGCACATCCAGCTGCAGCAGCTGCAACATATGCAGCATCAGTCCCAGCCTTCCCCTCGGCAGCACTCCCCCGTCACCTCGCAGATCACGTCCCCCATCCCCGCCATTGGCAGCCCCCAGCCAGCCTCTCAGCAGCACCAGTCGCAAATACAGTCTCAGACACAGACTCAAGTATTATCACAGGTCAGTATTTTCTGAAGACGCACGTGGCCGACGGATTCGCGTGTCTCGAGGAGAGAGGCATAGGAGGGTCAACTCTGCGTGGCTGATGCCTGTAAGTTGGTGGTGGTTATGCAGAAATATGTAACAGATCCCACGGTCCTCTCAAGTGTCTATTAGATAGGCAATAAGAACTACAGTATAGCTGAGTATCATCTTTTAGCGACTAAATCACTTTGTTTTTAAACAAGAAAAGCTGTGCTCTTTTGTGATGCCTTGTTTATTTATTCAGGCTATACCTACAATATGTGAATCAAACCGTTTCCCGAATCCTGGGACATACCGGTGACTATAAACTGGCCTCTCTGAGTCCTTGAAAATGGCCTTATTTCTCCAGAAGTGAATAAACCACACTTCAAGGCTATTTGAACTTCCGAAGCCCTCAAAATAAAAAGCACAGTTGTAACTACCTGAAATATGAAGATCCAGTTTCATACAAACATTTGTATGATGTGAATTGTTGATGGCATTTTTTTGTCATAAAAAAATAATGTAAATCACAGACTTTTGCCAAAGCTCTTATTTTTTTTCTCCTAAATCTCTCCAGAAAAAAAAAATGCAAGTGATTAGATTCAATTATTGACTCATTTCCACTTTTTACCCATGACTTCTCCAAATCGAACCACAGTGTGTGTTGTAACAATATCTATGACCACTGTTAGCCCATTATATTCATTCCAATTAGAAGAAAAGAATGTGAATATTATATTCTGTGTTTTGAGTGACAAGTTTCGAAAAATAAAAACACTGTATTTTTAAAAGGGAAATGCACTTAAATGAAAACAGTTATTACAAAAGTTAAGATTTAAAAAAAAAAAGCAAGAGTTTTTATTATGATGTTAATGCCGGTGGAATATTTAAAAGGCGCACCACATCGGAATAATCAATGTAAATATTTTCTTTCAAAGTTGTAAGTTTTCATATCATGTGTTGTAAAGTTTTCATAAACGAGGCTTTAACGTAAACACTGGTGACATAAACCATTCATTGCTACGTTGCTTATTGTGTTTTTATGCTGTTTTATACTTTTTTATGAGTTATGATAGCAGCAATTAAGTTGTTTGTATTTTGCTTAACTAAAACAAAAATGCTTTTATCTTGCTATAGAATAAACACATTTCAGTAAAAACTGTGGACTGTATTTTGATGCAACAATCAGGAAACTGTTCACTTTTCAAATAAAATGATATGTCAAATTTCACTTTCGGTTCCTTGAATACGTAAATGATGGGGACATATGCCCAAGCATCATCTTCCATTTTCAACTGGAGATATGATATTCATAGCTAAGAACCTGTATTGCATGGCTCCCAACTAGGGGCCTTAAAAAAAAATTGGAACTATTTTTGTAATTATCTTTTTGTTAAGATGCAAGTGGCCAGGTAAGTAAAAGCAACCATCTTCTATTTGGGGCTAGAATTAGCCGGCGTTGTGTTGTTATCGCTATTAAAGCGGATGGCGAATGCTAATTCTTAAGCCAAAATAATTATTTCGGTGCCCACGTCTTCCCCCCTTTCTTGCTCTGTAGTGCCTCCTCTTTGAGAACAGTGTGACTACTATCCCCAGTTGTCTTGCATGATTAATTACAGCATCTGTCCTGTCAGAAGCTATAATGAAGAGGTCTTGATAAAAATTGCAAATTACCACTGGCAACAGTCTTAAACTGCTTATGATAAAATGAAAATTAAAAACAGCAAGTGTCAACCCTGACCAGAATCCTAATCTGGAAAAAACGAGGGTCTGAGTAGTGGTGTCCATATCTACTGTGTGCAAGACATTTGAAAATATGGATTCCTCCAAGTTGTTGTTGTATTTCAAAGAATATTTACTGTATGTTGTGGGCTATGAATAATGAATTCAGCTTTCAATATTTCATAATCCCCTCGTACTCTCTATTATGTACAAATATTGAACAGCAAGAGATTCTAATTATAAATTTATAGATTTCTTGCTGTGGAAAAATTTAGGTCTAAATTGAAGCTTTTCATAAGATATATTAGTTGACAGGTATCAGTGTTCAAACAGTCTTAGAATGATGCCTCATCATATCTACAAGGGGGCAGTTGTATTCCACAAAGAAATGATCTGCTTGCATCAGACCCATCAGAAGCAGAGCTGATGCTAAAAGATTTTCTGTGAATTGAAACTAACATTACATAACAATAAGAACCATTTTATATTCTGTTGTGAAACCTTTAGACAAATGTCTTCAAAATTAATTGCTAAACTACATGTGACAGTAATTGTGTATTAGTTCTGTAATTGTCATTTTGAAAACCCATGAAGTATTGCTTGGAAAAAAATGTCACTAGTGATAAGACTTAATTGCAAGTGAAGTCTGTTTTCAACTGTTTGCAGTTAGAAGCAGGTGTTGTAACATCTATTAAATGATTTTATAAATCTTGGGTTTTATCACATTTGATTAAATGCCGTTAAGCCACTGACGGTCAATTTCAAGAAAAAAATAGTTTAATTACTATAGATTAAAAAATTAGTCATCGGGCGAAACTATATATTTAAAAATGTCAAAAGGCTTGAATCATGAAAAGAATTCCCCAACCTTGATACCAAATTATTTTTCTCAGGATTCACTAAAACGTATTACGACTCAACTTGTATTTCAGTTTATACAAGTGACTGGTTCTTATTCCAGAGACATAGTAAATACGCGGTGGACTTTGTGTTACAGGTCAGAAAAATAAATCAGGGTAATGAAAAAGAGGCATGAGAAATGTGGTATCTGATTAGTGAGATGTCTAAATGGCCTTAATGCCTTTCCTCCTAAGTGGTGGACGGACATAAACGGGGCTCTCCTGGCCCCCCACCTCCATCACACACACCTTCTCTCTCCCGCTGCCGTTGTGCATGTTATTTTATTACTCTGGCTAAACGTGATCTCCTTTTTGCAGTAACCTGTACTGCCGTTTGATGAAAGAACATAAGGAGTTTTCATTTTTAGCTGACATGGGGTCATTAGTTCCCTACTTAAAGAACAAAAGCTTAAATGCCTTCGTGCAGCATAATTTCTGCAATATATTACCACCTGACGGAGGACTGAAGGCTTTCTGGACAGATGGATTAATATCTCAAGTTTAAGTAGAAGTCCTCTGCTGTGTCCATTCAGTGGGCTGCAGACGTCTGAATGGTTTCTTTCCCCGGGTCTCACTTCATGGACCATTTTTCAGCGCTGGACTTCAATCTAACCTTTCCTTTCCCCCACCCGCTTTGTTTGGCTTTTGTTTTGCAACAGCTGTTATTATCGTTTTTGGTCAGCTGTGATTGCTGGAGGCAAAATAGGACCAGATGGTGTTTTGCTATGCATGAATGGCGAGTTAGAGGAGTTGGGATTGAATAGGCCAAGTTTGAATGGTGTCTACGCACCACCTGCCTGCCTGGGCTGTGGCATACACATCACAGTAGCATGATCTGCCTCGGACCTACTAGCATTGGATGGGAAAGTGGGGAGCTGGGGTGGATTTTCCCCATATTTATTGATCTTCCATGCACTAACAGAATAATGCAGTGTATAGTCAATTTGAGTTAATTGGATATGACACAGCATGGGCATGTCATCTATCACACTAGAGTTCTGGTTTGCTTTAGGATTTCGTTGCTCCTCCAAATACACACACACAGTAATAGCAAAAATTAATGGGCTAAGTAGGCACAGTTTTTAAAAAAAAAGATCTGTCTGAAATAGTAGCCTTAAGAGGCTGAGGTTTTGGGAAGGGGAGGACATTTCATTATATTTGTATCAGTTAACACGCAAGGTAAAGAAAAGCTATGATTCTGATATGGGTAGAGAGCCCTCATATTTGTAGGTTATTCATCAAATATTGCACATTTATAACAAATGTGCCTCGTTAGGAAAACCACACAGATATACAACCAGATTAGAATTCTCTTAGAAAATATTTTTACTATTTTATATAAATTTTTCTCCTAGTGTCCTCAAATACAGTTAGCTTTGCTGACTATCTGAACTAACCTGAAGGATAAATACTTTCCCTGCATTTTGAAGCTGGTGGCCGGGGTTAGCCCGTGTTGATGGTGGGCCTACAGGTGTGTGGCTTGTGTGTATCAGTGTGTGTTACCGAGGAAAAGCTTAACCATCCAGGAAACATGGAGTTGGATACACAGACAGACAGCTCTATTTGCCTAAGGCCGTAATTACTTAAATTTACTTCTGCTACATGCAAAACACTGCAATAGTTCCCAAAGGAGACGCAAAAATAAGCAGGGCCTTCTGTTTACTTTGTATATGCTTAAAACTTTCCATAATAAAAGTTTTAAAAATATAATAATAAGGGCCGGCCCCGTGGCTTAGCGGTTAAGTGCGTGAGCTCCGCTACTGGTGGCCCGGGTTCGGATCCCGGGAGCGCACCGATGCATCGCTTGTCCGGCCATGCTGAGGCCGCATCCCACATACAGCAACTAGAAGGATGTGCAGCTATGACATACAACTATCTACTGGGGATTTGGGGGGAAAGAAAAAAAAAATATATATATATATAAAATAATAATAAGCCATCCTTAACTTCAGGAGCTTTAATTTTTCGCTGGGGTGGGGGAAGTTACCCACCAAGACAGAATGATTACTGTGCCAACAAGACGTAAAACAAATGTAGGTTGTTATTGTGTGGTGGTGTTTTTTTGGTAACTTGAGAAAATTAAAACTTAGAAAGGGGAGAGATTGCAATTGGTTAGGGGTATTAGGGAAAGCCGCGTGGAATTATTGGCATTTAGGATGTGCCTTGAAGTTTGGGTAGGATTTCAGGAGGCCAAGCTGGAAGTCGTATTCTGGCAGAAGGAGGAGACATCGCCACACAAGGGGGAGCAAGAGAAAAGCCATTCATGTTGAAAGCACAGACACCATCAAAACAGTAGTGGAGAATATAGCAAATTGGATACACAATGCTTCTGGGGAGGGGAGCAAAAGAAAGCACTAGAAAGGAAGTTTGGGGGTATATTTGCAGAAGATCCTGTATGCCCAGCTGGGGACTTGTGCTTAACTCTAAAAGCCCTGGTGTCTGCGTAAGGAAGGTATGACCAGGGTGGGTGGAACGCACGAAGGATTTTATCTTAACTTACTCTTGAGACAGGAGTGTCCAGTTGGCAGTAAACTGAAATAAAAAATGGGACGAGATTCCCACTTGAGAATGTATCTCAATACTTTAATTATTCACATTCATATATAAAGCTATCGCTTCATGCTCTCTCATACCACTCCCACCTTCCTAGTGCAAGAACGCACCATCGACAGAGCCAAATCAAGGCATTTTTGGTGGCAGCTGTAGAATAAGCCTTATCCTTACATTAGCATCAAGAAGGAGATCATTTTCTGTGTTTCTGCTGTGAAAAGAAAGCTATTTTCACCACTGGTAAAAAGTACCTCTTGGTGCTTGAACTCAAATGCGATGAATGATGAAAAGAAGCCCTTGCTTTGTTGCTGAGTAAAACCTCAGGCAGCACTGGGAGGGATGTTGGTTATGGTCTCAATTTAATTTCAAAGAAGAACCTTCACAGATAGAAAACGTGAATGCGGATGCACACTTCTTAGCAAAGGAATAATGCTCTTTTGTAAAACATCTCATTATCCCTAGCATTTGTATAGTGCTCTGTACTTTTCAAAGCAGTTTTCTGTGGATTACCTCAATGGGTTCACTCTCTAGATGGGGCAGGAGTTAACTTCATGTAACGAAGTAGGAAACTGAGGCACAGAGAGGGTTGTGACTTGTTCCAAATCTCTTTGCTTATAAGAGGCACAGTCAGATCCAGCATGGAAATTTTCTCATTCTAGGTCTCCTGTTATTTCATTTGCCTTCTCATCTTTGTACACGTATGGCATACATATTTGACACATTTATGTCTGTAATATAATTGTAAGATGTGCAAATATGTGTGAATAAATAGATGATAGAGATAGATAGGTAAATGGCAGATAGATAGTTGACAGAAATCCATCACAATACCAAAGAGAATAATTAATCCATGTTTTCCTCATGGCTAGTCAGGCAGTAAACCAGAGCAAATGCCACCTAGCCCATGTTCTCAGTGGGGCGTAACGCCACGTGGCACTTTTTTCGGTGTGAATACTTTCCAGTATGATTGTTTTCTCTACCAAGGTCTCTCTGTAATTATTTTGTATTCAGGCAAACAGGCAAAACACAAACATTTGACTTGTGGTGTTCGAGTGTTAGGGCTGGAGGTGC